TTTTCACCTCCATGCATATGAACAGTTCTTATAATCACATACACACTTAAATTTACTCATCTTCCAACATTGTCATTCTCAGGTGGTACACTCAAGTATGAAGGAAAACATCATACTTACAATTATTATCACAGTTTAAAGTGAATACAAACACATATAACACAACAATCAGAATCGAAATAAATAAGGATTACATAATGATAATGTCAACCATGATAAAATAGAAACGTTACAAATTTTAAATCTTTTTCCCTAAACAGATTTAAGAACGCACTCAGGAAGGGGCGACCGTACATATACACACACGATTTAAAAAAAATGAAAAGAAAAAAGTGGAGAAAATGGAAATAATTATAGCAACTTTCCAGAAAATATTAGAACAGGAGACACATATTCTAAGTGGATAATATTAAAAATTTCACATAGGGCAGCCACGATTTTAACTCCACGTGTATCTGATATTGAAAACAACAATCAAAGAAAAATAGAGTTTAAGTGTATAACGAGTTATGTTTAATTTAAAATTAGTGGTAAGATTTTGAGTTTTAAGAAAATTGGTTTATTTACTCTCGGCCAGGTAGAAACTTGAGAAGGAAATAGGTTCTTCCTATGCTTTTTGTCTAGAAAGGTGTAGATAGAGAGAAAATAGGTAGACTTCGTAAAGAAACCACATGCAACAAGATAAAGGAAATATGGACCAAAAAGGAGATAGGTTAACTTCATAAAAATAATGTATAACAACGTATTATTTCAAAACCACCCTCTATACTCAACCGAAAAGTAAGAATAGTTAAGGACCATGAAAATATCAAGCGATAGTTGACATGCAAATATACCTCAACCACAATCGTATTCATGCAAGCTACAAAATATAATTTTTAAAACACCATTCAAACAAAATAATTATGAGATGAAGGAAAATCATTTGCATGCAAATTTTTGGTGAAAGTCAGAGGCAAGAATAAGAAGAAGAGGGCGCATGCAATATTCACAAATCAAATGAATAGTCACATGCAGTCAAACGCAAACAAGTACTCCCCTTACCTTGTTGGAAGAGAGAATGAAAAGAAAGTTGAAAGCTTGCTCTTGTTGCTTGCAGAGACTCGCCCACGAAGTAGCTTCTTGGTGGTGGTGTGGATGTTGAAAGAAAGTGAGAGTGTAGGGTGTGAAAAGTGATAAATCCATATTTTACCATAATTTTTAGTATGATTTTGTTAATAAATAAGTAGTCAAGTGCTAAGTAAACTTGAAAATATCATAAAAATTGCATTAATATTCATAATTGTGTAAATAGTTTTAATTTTTAGACTTTTAGTCCAATTCTGAACAATTTGACTCAAAAGTGACTTAATCCTTGTGCAGAAGCTTGAGCTGAGAATTTAAGTTGAAGATTAAAGTGAAGAAAGTAGAGGAATTGAGCTTAAAAGATGAAGAATCAGGTGTTATATGAAGGGCGTAATCACTTTGAGTACATAGAGTCAACACTTTAAAGAAGAAAATTCATGAAGATCAAGAGAGTAGCTACTTCAAATGTTCAAAGTAGCTATGCAATTGAGCGCGTAGCCACTTCATGTGCCCAGAATAGCTACGCAGAGTGCGTAGCCACTTCAAGCGTTCAGAGTAGCTACGCCCAAGGCTAATTCAGAACTGCACAACGCGCGTAGCTACTTCAAGTGCTCAGAGTAGCTACGCAGTCAGTGCATAGCTACTTCAAGTGTTCAGAGTAGCTACACAAAAATAACAGAATTTTAAATATCACTTCTAAGTGTCAACTTTGGACGATTAGAGTTCTTAAATCAGTTTTAGAAGTTTCTAGAAGACCTTTGATGCTAGAATTCTCAGAGATTAACATGTAGAAAAGCAAAAGGCGGGAAAAATCATATAAATAGAAGTTAGAGGTTCAGAAAAAGGGACTTTTGGTTCATTTTTGTTATTTTTCACTTTGTAACTGTTTTAACTTCCAAGGGAAGTCAGAGAGAGAGAGATTGAGAGTGACTTTCAAGCTTCATTTCTAGAGGAATCAGAGTGAAGATTGGGTCTTGGAAGATATTCTTCTGCTTCTTGTCTTCTTCTTCTCTTACTTCTCCTTTCTCCATTGTAATGTTGTTCTAAACCTTTTTGGTTAGGGATCTATGGATCCAGATTTGATGTTGTGATGTAATTGTGGATTGAATCTTGAGATTTTAATTGAATTGAGTATGTGATTTTGTTCTTAATGCAGTTGTGAACTAATCCTTCATTCAATTAAATTTAGAGGAATTTTCATCAATGGAAATTGAGTTTATTTCTCAGATCTGAATCATATGCCTAGGTTATTGAGATCTTAGGAATAAGTATCATGATCTAGTAATCCTATAATTTCCAGAACTTAATGCAATATTTGATTGAATTTCACCTAAGGAATTAGGGAGGTTTAATTAGGTATTAGGATCAATGAGGCAAAGAATTGTCCTTTGCTTAAAGAAGTGAAATTGATTATCAATCAATTAAAATTCTCAAGAGTTCAGAACATGATTACATTGCAATTAAAAATCTGATGAAGTGATTCCTAACTATTTTCCATATAGCATCTTAATACAAAATTCGTATCTGTTTTTATAGCAAGTTTATTACCTTTTATTGTCTTTATTTCTTACTTTCACATGTTACAAACCTCTCAAATGAATTGTTTTGCTCAACTAATTGTTAAATTGTGACGTGGTAATTGAAATAAGATCCTTGTGGACGATACTTGGGGCTCATATTGAATTCCAAATTTTATTATTTGCTACAACTACCTAGTACACTTGCTAGTTAATTCTCCAATTTTGTAACAAGATTTTGGTGTTGTTGCCAGGGATCTTTATTTTCACTATTATTAGTAGCAAGGAGACAACTAGATTGAGCTTTTTGTTCCCTTTTTTCTTTTTGGAAATTTTATTTTTATACATTGAATTTTGTATTATATTTTCTGCAAGTTTTCCTGTATACCTTTGCTGTCTAGTTTTGTATAATTTTTGTGCCACTGTATTTTGTGTAGATTACATGTTTAGATGTTATGATTCTTTCTTAATTCTTCATAGGATATTCTGCTAGTAAATTTTTTGCACTATATTGTTCTATATTTTCATCATTTTCTTTTAGTGTTTCTGCTGTGTTCAGTTTTTCTAGTGTTATATGCGTGGGAAAAATAAAAACAAGACTGCTCTTGTGTTTGATCTGGACATAGACAGAACATTGAGGAGGCTAAGAAATGAATTAAGAGCAGAAAATTCAGCAAGAAAAGAGCAAGAATTGGAATCTACACCTTCTACTCCTAAATCGAAAGAACTTCAAATTCCTTCTCCTACACCACCAACACCTCAAGAGAAGACAATGGCTAAACAGAACATGATAAGAACTTTAGGGGATTATGCAGTGCCTAACATGCATGGATACAACTCCTCTATAGTCAGACCTACCATACAAGCCAACCATTTTGAAATAAAACCAGCTTTACTTCATTTAGTTCAGCAAGATCAATTTTCTGGTTCAATTTCGGATGATCCTAACTTACACATCTCTAATTTTTTTGTAGCTTTGTGATACAATAAGGATGAATGGAGTTAGCAAGGATGCAATTAGATTGAGACTATTTCCATTTTTATTAAGAGATAAAGCTAAATGTTGGCTGCAAGCTCAACCACAAGGAAGCATCACCACTTGGGCAGACCTTGTTAATAAATTTCTTACCAAGTATTTTCCACCATCTAAAGCTGCCAAACTAAGAGGAGAAATTACATCATTCATGCAGCAGGAGAGGGAATCTTTATATGAAGCTTGGGAGAGGTATAAAGAATTATTGAGGAAATGTCCACACCATTGCATACAGAATGGATGCAGCTGGAAACTTTCTATAATGGAATGAGTGCAGCCATTAGAACCATGACTGATGCAGCTGTAGGAGGATAATTAAATACTAAGTCATTGGAAGAAGCTCAACGAATTATAGAGATGATGGCTTCATCTATGTATCAAAATTCTAATTCTAGACACTCTGTAAGGAGTGGAGGATATGAAGCCAAAATTCTTGAGACTTTTCTTGCACAAAACCAGCTGTAAAGTCAAATGTTTTCAGAACAAATTGCTGCACTAACTCAACAAATAAGCAATTTACAGGTTGCTCCAATTCAAAATACTCAACTTGTGATTTTTGTTGAGGAAATCATGCTAATGGAGCATGTGATGCATCTACCAATGAACCTCAAGAGCAAATTAATTATATGGGAAATTTTCAGAGACAACAACCCTTATTCCCACCTGGTTTTCAGTATCCTAATAACAGAAATCAGCAGTACTTTAATTGGAATACTCAATATTTTACTGCAAAAAAATTTAATTCTGCTTTACCTTTTTCTGGTGCAGGTCCAACAACACAACAATCCTATTTTCAAGGGAATCCAGCCACTCAACCTCAAAGGGATAAAAAATTCTCCAAGCCTATGACTGAAAGGTTGAATGAAATGGAGGAAACCATGTTGCAATTTATGAAAGTAACCCAAACAAGCTTCAAGAATCAAGAATCTTCCATAAAAAAGCTTGAAACTCAAATTGGACAGCTGGCTGAACAATTATCCAGCAGAGAAGAGGGGATATTTCCTAGCAATATAGTTGTTAATCCAAAAGAACAATGTCAAGCTGTAATGACTAGGAGTGGCGTTGTTGTGGGGAGTCCCAAATCTGCCGTAAAAAGAGGAAATAATCCTACTACAGAGGAGAAATTAAAATTTGATCTAGATGAAAGAAATTTTACCTTGTTGAAAAGAGAAAATTTAGAAAAAGGGAGTTCTCCAAGGACTGTAAGGAAGACAAAGAGGCAAATACTTGAGGAAGCTAATCAACCTATTGATGAGGAGAAATACAAGAGACTTCCTTACCCTCAAAGAATGCCTAATTCAAAACAAGAAAAACAATTTGAGAGGTTTCTAGATGTCTTCAAGAAACTTCAAATAAATATTCCTTTTGCTGAAGCACTTGAGAAAATGCCTTCCTATGCTAAATTCATGAAGGAGCTATTATCTAAGAAAAAAAAGCTTAAGAATGATAAAACGGTCCCTTTGATTGAAGAATGCAGTGCTATTTTACAAAGGAAACTCCCTCAAAAATTAAAAGATCTTGGTTCTTTTAACATTTCATGTACTATTGGAAATTGCACTGTGGGGAAAGCTTTATGTGATCTTGGGGCCTGCATCAATCTCATGTCTCTTGCTATGATGAAGAGACTTGGAATAGAAGAAGTCAAGCCTATTAGCATAACCTTACAACTTGCGGACAGATCTTACACATATCCCTATGGTGTTGTTGAGAATTTGCTAGTTAAGATTGACAAATTTATTTTTCCTGCAAATTTTGTAATTTTGGACATAGAAGTGGATGCCAACATTCCTTTAATTTTGGGTAGACCATTCTTAGCTACAGGGAGAGCTTTAATTGATGTTCAAAAGGGAGAACTTATGTTGAAAGTGCAGGATGAAAAGGTTATTTTTAATGTATTTGAGGCACTCAAACATCCCAATGATGATGTTACTTGTATGAGGGTTTCTGTGGTGGCAACCATGTGAATGGAGCTTGTGATCCCACAGTTATAGAACAACTTGATCAAGTTAACTATATGGGCAATTATTAAAGGCCACAACAACCATATCCACCTGGTTTCCAACTAAATAACAATAGAGGACAACAGTTTTCTACGTGGAATCCACAGAATTCTAATGCAAGAGGGAATGCAGGTTATGCAGCCTTTCAAGGGAATTCTTCTGCACAATTCCAGAAAATTCAAGGGTACTCACATTCAAGACCTTTGAGTGAGAAAGTGAATAGAATTGAAGAGACACTACTGCAGTTTATGAAGGTGACAAAAACTAATTTCAAAAATCAAGAAAGTTCTATAAAGAAGCTAGAAACACAAATTGGGCAGTTGGCTAAGCAACTGGTCAAGAGATAAAAGAAGGTTTCCTAGTAGCACAATAGTGAATCTGAGGGAGCAGTGCCAAGCCATAACCACCAGAAGTGGAGCAGTTGTTTCGAGCCCAAGAAAGAAAAATGAAGTCACCAACTCGAATGAGGAAAGTGAGCTGAAACAAGAAGATTTTGAAAGTGAGAAATACACTATGCTGAAGAGGGGAGAAGAAGAAGAAAACTGCAGTAACAAGCAAGAAAAGAGGGCAAGAAACAAAGATTTGAGCAGGCCTGCAAGCCTATTAATGAAGAGCAGTACAAGAGATTACCTTTTCCAAAGAGAGTACAAGATCCTAGACAAGAAAGGCAGTTTGAAAGATTCATAGATGTGTTCAAGAAGCTCCAAATTAATATTCCCTTTGCAGAGGCATTAGAACAAATGCCTTCTTATGAAAAGTTTATGAAAGAGCTCTTGTCTAAAAAGAGGAAGCTGGATATGGAAAAATTGGTACCACTCACTGAAGAGTGCAGTGCCATTTTGCAGAGAAAATTGCCTCAAAATTTGAAGGATCTAGGGTCATTCAGCATACACTACTCCATTGGAAACCACACAGTTGGAAAAGTCCTGTGTGACTTAGTGGCTAGCATAAATTTAATGCCATTAGCAATTATGAAGAAGCTGGAAATTGAGGAGATAAAGCCAACTAAGATTACATTACAATTGATTGACAGGTCATATACATATCCCTATGGAGTGGTAGAAGACCTATTAGTCAAGGTAGACAAGTTCATATTCCCTGCAGACTTTGTTATCCTTGATATGGAAGTAGATGCAGATATCCCTCTTATTTTAGGGAGGCCGTTTTTAGCAACAGGGAGAGCTTTGATAGATGTGCAAAAAGGTGAATTGATGTTAAGAGTACAAGAGGAGAAAGTCATTTTTAATGTATTTGAGGCCATCAAACATCCAAGTGATGATATGAACTGCATGAAGATTGATGTAATAGATGTTGTGATACCACATTCCTTGGAGAAAAATGATGAAAGTGCAGTCTTGGAAAGCACATTAGCTGCAGCAAAATGTGGTATTCATGAAGACCAAGATGAGGAAGTGAAAGACTGCATTCTGCAATTAGATTCCCTTCCCTGTATGAACAATGAAATAGACCAACTCAAAGAAGAACTACATCAAGAAGAGGAGAAGAAAGAAGAGCCAAAGGTGGAGCTCAAGCAATTACCCTCTCATTTGAGGTATGTGTTTCTTGAAGTAGGCCATAACAAACCTGTAATAATAAACAACAATCTGCAGAAAGACCAAGAAGAAAAGCTTTTAAGTGTGTTAAGAGAGCACAAATCTGCACTAGGATGGCATATTTTTGATTTGAAAGGTATAGATCCCCTTTCTGCATGCATAGAATTTTATTTGAGGAGAATTGCAAGCCTGTTGTCCAACCTCAAAGAAGACTTAATCCAACTATGAAGGAGGTAGTGAGGCAAGAGGTGATGAAACTACTAGATGCAGGAGTTATTTATCCAATTTTAGATAGTTCATGGGTGAGTCCAGTTCATGTGGTACCTAAGAAAGGAGGTATAATTGTTGTTCTAAATGAAAATAATGAATTAATACCTACTAGGACAGTAACCGGATGGCGAATGTGCATCGATTATAGGAACTTGAATGATGCATCAAGGAAAGATCATTTTCCTCTTCCATTTGCTGACCAAATGCTGGAGAGATTGCTTGGGTTTGACTACTATTGTTTCCTAGATGGATATTCTGGTTATAACCAGATTGCAGTTGACCAAAGAGACAAAGAAAAGACAACATTCACTTGTCCTTTTGGAGTTTTTGCATACAGAAGGATGTCATTTGGGTTGTGCAATGCTCCAGCCACTTTTCAAAGGTGAATGTTGTCCATTTTTTTTATATGATTGAAAGAATTATAGAAGTTTTTATGGATGACTTTTTTGTATTTGGTAATTCTTTTGATCAGTGTCTAGCTAATTTATCTCTTGTTTTGCAGCGTTCTCAAGACTCAAATCTTGTGCTCAATTGGGAAAGTGCCATTTTATGGTACAAGAAGGGATAGTCTTAGTACATAAGATTTCCGCAAGGGGAATGGAAGTGGATCCTGCAAAAGTAGAAGTAATTGAGAAGCTGCCTCCACCTATAAATGTTAGAGGAGTAAAAAGCTTTTTGGGACATGTTGGATTCTATCGCAGGTTCATTAAAGACTTTTCTAAATTGCCAAGCCATTGAGTGAATTGTTGAGTAAGGATGTAGAATTCATTTTTGCTGATAAATGTTTAATAGCTTTTAACACTTTGAAAGAGAAATTAATTTCTGCACCTATACTTGTTAAACCAGATTGGGAATTGCCTTTTGAGCCGATGTGTGATGCTAGTGATGTAGCTATAGGAGCAGTTTTAGGCCAAAGAAAAGACAAGAAACTACATATTATTCATTATGCTAGTAGAGTTCTTAACCCTGCACAAATTAATTACACTACTACTGAAAAAGAACTCTTAGCTATAGTATTTGCATTTGACAAGTTTCGGTCTTATTTGATAGGGTCCAAGGTTATAGTTTACACTGACCATGCTGCTCTTAAGTATCTTTTGTCAAAGCAGGATGTCAAGCCCAGATTATTAAGGTGGATTTTACTCCTTCAAGAATTCGAGTTAGAATCAAAGACAAGAAAGGGAAGGAGAATGGAGTTGCTGACCATTTGCCAAGATTACCACTTGAGGTAATACCATTTGAAGTGGAGCAAATAAAAGAAGAGATCCCATATGAGACCTTACTTAAGATTGAATCCCAGCCCTGGTTTGCTGATATGGCCAACTTTAAAGCTACATATCATGTTCCAAATTTGATGAGTTGGCAGCAGAGAAAGAAATTCTTCCATGACAGTAAATATTATGTGTGGGAAGATCCATTACTGTTCAAAATTGGAATAGATGGGCTGCTGAGAAGGTTTATACCAGAGGAAGAGCAGGAAGATGTTTTGTGCCACTGTCATAGTTCAAAATATGGAAGACACCATGGTAGTTCAAGGACAATAGCCAAGGTCCTATAATTTGGTCTTTTCTGGCCAACTTTGTTCAAGGATGCCAAGAACTATGTGGAAAGATGTGATAGATGCCAGAGAATGGAAAATATTTTCAGGAAACATGAGATTCCACTACAAAACATACTTGAGGTAGAACTATTTGACATGTGGGGGATAGACTTCATGGGTCCTTTCCCTACTTTATTCTTGAATGAATACATGTTAGTAGCAGTTGACTATGTGTCTAAATGGGTGGAAGTAATTCCTACCAGATCCAATGATGCAAGGACTATTATTTCATTCATCAAAAAGAACATTTTCTCAAGATTTGGAGTGCCCAGAATTTTGATAAGTGATGGAGGAAGCCATTTTTGCCACAAATATCTAGAATCAGTCCTAGAGAAGTATGGAGTCAAGCATAGAATAGCTACACCCTACTACCCTCAAACAAGTGGCCAAGTAGAGGTTTCCAACAGAGAAATAAAACAAATTTTGGAGAAGGTGGTTGATCTTGGATTTTTATAACCTTGTTTCCCCTCATTCCTAGCTCATTAATCCTCTTTTGTGCCTAATTGGTTTGAATTGAATCATTTTATGATGTTTGAATTTTATTTGGGTTTTACTTAATTTTTCCAGTATTTGTTAAATTCTGATACTGTTTTGGTTTCTGGGCCATATCTTGAGTTGTAGAGCTCATTTCATTGTCATTCTTGATTTGTAGGAAAGCTAAGAGAAAGGTTCACAATTCTTATAAGAGGTCAGAACCCAATTCTGATGTTAAGAAGCTGAAACTGGGCCTAGAAGTGAACTGAAGCAGTGCAGTCGCGGATCCTGAGCAAGGTGCAGTATTTGGGCCATATCTCAGTCCACAGACATCCGATTAAGCCCATTCCAGTGGCGTTTTGAAGCTAACATCCAAGACTACAATTTTCCTTTAGGACACCAATCAAAAGGAGGCCGTTTTCATAGCCGAAATGAGAAAAAAAAGGACGAACGGAATTTTGAGAAAAGAAATTTGAATTTTAAAAAATTAGGCTCTCTCTCTCTCTCTCTCAGCCCTCTCACCTTTACGACTTGTTGTTTTCCTTCATTAATGGAGGATTTGATTTCCATCTAATTCAAGGATTAAAAGGGACGTGACACTCTTGAGGATTGGTCTCACATTGGCATAAATTCAATAACAAATTCGGTTTCATCTCTTCCTTATTTTCTCCTTTTGCTAATTATATTTTTGAATTGAAATTATTCGTTTGGATTGATGATTATGCATCTAGTTGATTACGTATTATTCGATTGATGTATGTAATTCAGTTTTAAGGAATATGAATTGGATTTTCAGGTTTGAAAACTACGATTAACGGCATTGGTAAATTAAATTGGCATAATTCAATTAGGTTCTAGAGTTTTCTGAACTTTAAGTGATTATGTGTTAATCGAATGCATGAAGGTTTTCGTGTGAATGCTGAGTTTGAATTGAGGTTTCATTCAGATTCATTGTTAATTACTGAATTGCTTGTTGATATATTCTCTTAAAAATCCGGTGATAAAGTAATCATTATTCTTCTTAATTCTTGGATTGGACTTTCAATTTCTGTTCACTCTTCATTCTA